CGTCATGTCATGTTGGTGTCCCGGTCACCTTGTGATGGTGTTCCGGTCATGTTGTGATTGTGTCCCAGTCATGTTGTGACGATGTCCCGGTCATGTTTTGATGGTGTCCCGATCATGTGATGGTGGCGCGGTCATGTTGTGATGGTGTCCGGATCATGTTTTGATTGTGTCCCAGTCATGTTGCCCAATCATGTTGTGACGGTGTCTCGGTCATGTTTTGATGGTGCCCTGGTCATGTTGTGATAGTGTCCCGGTCATGTTGTGATGGTGTCCCCGTCATGTCATGCTGGTGTCCCGGTCACCTTTTGATGGTGTCCCGGTTATGTTGTGTTGGTGTCCCAATCATGTTGTGACGGTGTCTCGGTCATGTTTTGATGGTGCCCTGTCATTTTGTGATGGTGTCCCGGTTATGTGTCCCGGTCATGTTTTGATGGTGTCCCGGTCGTGTTGTGACGGTGTCCCGGTCATGTTTTGATGGTGTCCGGGTCATGTGACGGTGTCCCGGTCATGTTGTGATGGTGTCCTGGTCATCTTGTGATGGTTTTCCCGTCATGTCATGTTGGTGTCCCGGTCACCTTGTGATGGTGTCCCGGTCATGTTGTGATTGTGTCCAAGTCATGTTGTGACGGTGTCCCGGCCATGTTTTGATGGTGTCCCGATCATGTTGTGATGGTGGCGCGGTCATGTTTTGGCGGTGTCCCGGTCATGTTGTGATAGCGTCCCGGTCATGTTGTGATGGTGTCCCCGTCATGTCATGCTGGTGTCCCGGTCACCTTGTGATGGTGTCCCGGTTATATTGTGATGGTGTCCCAATCATGTTGTGACGGTGTCTCGGTCATGTTTTGATGGTGCCCTGGTCATGTTGTGATAGTGTCCCGGTCATGTTGTGATGGTGTCCCCGTCATGTCATGCTGGTGTCCCGGTCACCTTGTGATGGTGTCCCGGTTATGTTGTGATGGTGTCCCAATCATGTTGTGACGGTGTCTCGGTCATGTTTTGATGGTGCCCTGGTCATTTTGTGATGGTGTCCCGGTTATGTGATGATGGTGTCCAAGGAAGAGATGGTCGATGTGTTGAAAACAGCAGCTGTTTCCAGATTTTTCTTTTTGTCCCGGTTTGTATCTTGCTATTGGGGTCTCCAGCTGGGCTAATTGCTTCCTTGTTTTTTGCGTTTGAGTTGGTGTTTCACGTCTTCAACACAAACATGAACCCATACTGTTGTGTTTCCACCTTGCCCAAAGACTGCATGCACCAACGAAAAACAGCCCTGATCCTCGAATTCCAATCTGATTTACATCATTGCGGGCATGCGAACCACCCGATCGGTGCGTTGTTTTTTTGTGTGATCGCTTCGAGCGGACATACTGAGCTGTGGGAGTTCGTTCCGAGTCAGCGACGATGAAACCAGCAAACAAACCAGTGTTTAGATACAGTTCCGGATCATGTGACAGTTCTACCCCCACTGCTTCTTGAGAAAGGCAAAGCACCTTCTCTCAACTCAACTCTCCTTTTTTGCCCAGCTTGGGCTTAGCACTCGCAGGAGCTGATTAGCACAGCCGCAGAGGTCCTATCAAGCCGTTGAAAGTTCTAGTTCCGCGGCTTCGTCCCATGCACCCTTTTTCAGAATGCCAGGACTCATCGGAAGCGCCAAAGAAGAGGCCCTGGCAGAAGCAATGAAAGATCACACGGCCACGACTGCATTTCAGGCCGCAAAAGCTTGCAAGCAGAAAAACCAGAAGGACAAAAAACATGATCGAAAAAGGTCACACGCTGTCAGTTTGGTGGCTAGAGACAGAATGTTATGAAACCAATCTGCAGCAATGATCCTTTCAGCTGTTTGGCTTATATTATATGTTTTGGCCCAAGTTCGAAACAGATATACATCTGCCGTCATTTGCCAAATGCATACCATTAACCCAAATAGCTCTTGACTTGATAATTGTTGACATCATTCCCGGTTCTGCAGAATTCTTGGAATTTATGGCTCTTGACAACGTGTTGAACTTCTATATTTTTGGCACTCCCAAGCATGATTTTTGATTGTTAAGCTGGGACATGTGCACAAAAAGATTACGAGTGCAAGACATCAGAATTCTTTGGGTGTTGGCCAGGTAGCCCAGTGACAATGTCACCATCTCCTGAAATACACGGGACTGGCTTCAAGGTAAACGGCAGCCGCTCACCCAGCCAAGCTCGTTGAAAAATGCGGCATGACATTCTTTTGGTCACATCACATTCCATCCCAAAACTTTGGAAGCGTTCTTGTTCAGTCTGCATTGTTGATTCTTGATTGGTCTGTTTGGCCCTCCAACAAAAGTCACGCTGAGGCCCACACAAATACAGCCGCTTTGACTCAGATGATGTGGAGAAGGCCCACGTGGTAGAGCTTGCCTAAAGCGGCTAAAGTCGTTTGTTGACCCAGATGGAACAAACGTGACCAGGTCTTCAGGCAGTTGAAGAAGGATGATTGTGGTGGTGGTTCGGCAACTCGTTTCTGCATGTATATATACATATATTTGCGTAGAAGTTTCAAGCATACTCAAGTTTCACCATTGCGCACCGCAGGTCGCATTCAGGTTCAAGAAAAGGACTTTCGCATGGTAGCGGAGCGGCTCAGGTTTGCGACGCCATGGCTGGCACCGAGGGTTCTCCGGTGATGAGCCCAGCTGGAAGCGTAGTGGAGCCGCAGGCCAGCAGATAGATGGAGCAGAATTGACGAGGAGAATGATGTTGGCGACAGAAGCTGCATCCACGGCAGCTACAGTAGCAGCTCAAGCTTTGGAAGAGCTAAAGAGCCAAAGACATGATGAAAAGAGTTGGTACGAGACGTTGCCCAAGCCTGGAGTTTTTGATCCTAAGAGTCGAAGAGAGGAATTGTTGATGTGGCGTGATTTTGCATGGTCATTGGAACAGTACTTAGCACGCTTTGATATCGAATATCTTGCCGACTTCGAAGCTTTAAGAAAGAACCCATCGACAGAAGCTGACAGCTCCTTGATGGGAGACAAGGATAAAGCCGCAGTTCACTCCTGTATAGTCTTTTGGTGGGATTATTGAAGAATCGGCCCTTGCTGGTATTGAGACAAGTTACAGAAAGTGGAGTCAAGCTATGATGTTGACTTCGGATGACAAAGGTTTGGCGCCTATGGATATCGATCGAGTTCAGGACAAAGGGAAGAGAGGCAAGGGGATGCAAACAGAAGAAGGCCATGAAGTACAGGTGCACGAAAGGGCCAACCAATTTTGTCGTTCGGAAGATTGTTAGAAGGTGGACGGGGGAGAAGACTCTGTGCTTTGGGTCACAGGTCAAGATTCCTTTGGGGATGCAGCGCAAGAGCCTGCTTGCCCTTGCGAAGATTCGCAAGGTGGAAGCGGTACCATGTTTCGTGAGAGCCCTAGATGCGAGCTTGAGGAGATAGTGAAGCCACAGGACAAGGGTTCTCACCTCCCGTATCCGTGATGGTTCTGATGCAAACTCGCTGGCAGAGAATGCAGTGCAACGGGTACGAGGATTGACGTGTACCATCATGGAGGGTTTGATGTCAAGAATTCAAGTGAGGCTGGTTAGCGCTCACTGTTGCTGGATCATGAACGATACCAAGCCTATCACGGAGTGACAGCTTTTGAATTGGTTCACGGGAAACAATACACAGGAAGCATCGTACCTTTTGGATGTCCAGTCCATACCTGTGCCTATGTGAGGTCACAAGCTTTAAATCCACCGAGAGGAGATCCAAAGAGCAAGATGACAATCTTCTTGCGCAAGACCCAAGATGCTTGGATTGTGTCAGATGGTGACAGGATCGTGCTTACAAAAAGTGTGAGGAGAGTGGATAGACCTTGGGCAAGATTTCTTGCTTACTACATGGGATTTTCCACAGCATCGTTGGAATTTCAGACCAACTTTGGAGGACGCATAGTGCCTACGAAGAGGGCAGTTGGAGCCCAAGCGTTGGGGCATGGACCAATGCCACCTTTGGAAGCCATTACCTACCGATATCGTGGTCTCGATGCGGAAGAAGTTGAAAACTATGCCAAGTCCTATCAAGGTAGAGCAGAAGCAATGAGAGAACTTCAAGAGACTGCAGAAGAATTGGGTAGAGAACTTCTCGTAGACCCAGGAACACCACAGCGCCAGCAGCTCCTGTTCACGCTGAACCGCAACCTGGACAACCAAGAACGCCAGAGACCGGAGGACAAACCTATGGAGAAGCTGGAAGATGTGATCTTTGTAGAGCTTCTATGGGAAAGAGCTTTGAAGAAGACACCGCCGCCGGAAAGTGCTGTCGCGTCAGAACCAGCTAAACAGAACAGAAGAAAGGTCGTCAAGTTCTTTGCGGATTCAGGTGATTCAGGGTGATTCAAGAGCGATTGGAAAAGGTACGATGTCAGGACATTGAGATGTACCACTTGGATGAAGTAGTCAATGAAGAGAACTTCTATGCTCTTGAGGAGAACTTTCAGGAGGAAGAAGAAGAAACATAAATTCCAGATGAATTTTGGAGCAATGAACCTTTGAGTTCAATGCCAGGACAACTACCAGCAGAAGTAGATCTACTTGCAGACAAAGTGGAGGAAAGGCGACTGAAACGGATGGGAGTGTTGCGAGACCTTCTTGAGGAAGAGCAAGACTTTGAGGTCCTTGCTTTGTCCACGACTGGCGTATCAAGACAAGGAGGTTCACAAGTGGTAAAGAACAGAAGCAATGGCTGAGAAGAGGACGTCTTGTGGCAAGAGAGTTTGCCAACGCAAAAAGGGATGACATACATTCGCCTACTTCAAGCACCCATGCGCATCGACTTTTACCAGTCATGTTTTTGATGGACCGAGGACTAGAGTTCAGCGAGAAAACATCTGTGATGGGAAGCTTGGATATCAAAGACGCCTTCCTACAAGTGGATTAGAAAAAGGCATTGCAGGTGACTACGAACTTAGGAAGATTTCGAGTGTTGAAGAATTTGCCGGGTCAACGACAAGGAGCTCAAGCATGGTTCAACCACTTAGTTGAGTTTCTGGAAAGCATTGGATTTGAATTCTGCAAAGAGAACGCATGTCTTTGGAGAAAGGCAGATCAAGTCTTTGTGCTGATTCATGTCGACGGCATCCTGTACTATGGACAGGAGGAGGCAGTTCAACACTTCATTGAACAGCTGAGAGAAAAGTTTGAGATCTCAGTGAGCCAAATGAAGTTACCAGGAGATGAGTTGGATCCAATTCCTAAAGCGAACCTGCAAGCTTGGGACTTGGGAATGACGGCTTTTACATCATACCAGGACGATATGCCAGTGACGTGATCAAGAACTTTGAAGATTTCTATGGTCAAGCCAAGAAACAAAAAGTACCTTCAGGACCAGAGATTCAAGAGGCAGATGGACCTGAAGCACTAAGTTCAGAAGAAGTAGCGCTATACTCTCTAGTGGGTAGCGGCGTTTACTTGTCACAGGAAAGATTGGATTTGAGCTTCGCGATCAAAGAGCTTGCGCCCTCTATGTCAACACCCACGGCGTTGAGCGTGAGCAGGACAAAAGCTAATTGGCTACCTTAAGTCAACAGAAGGCCAACGCGTGAAGATTCCATTTCCAACAAGAGGTCCTGGTATGTGCGCGCTATCAACGCAGAAATGGTTGTTAGATGTTGTTAGAAACATTCACTGATGCAGATTGGAGTGGACACAAAGGGCATCGGAAACCTACATCTTCACCTGTACGTACGTGTGGTGAATGATCGTGTTGTTTTGCACCATCGAGAGGACAGAAAGTAGTCAGTGGTGAAAGTGAAATACATGCATTGGTTGGAGGCGCATGTGATGGAGTATTCATTCCGCAACGCCTCAAGTTTTCTGACAGACGAAGAAGTCCAAGATGTTTTCTTGATGGACAACTCAGCGACGAGACAGGTCACGTGCAAAAGAGGAAGTGGAAAGCTGAGGCACGTCAGTGACGCCAGTGGAAAAGTTCTATGGTGCCAAGAGGTGATTTCTTCAAGGGAAGTTGAAGTCAAGCAGGTTGAACAGTTCACAATGTGTCAGATTGACAGAGATGGCGGCAGAGTCGGTGAGAAGGAAAGACAGGAAGTTGGAAAGAGAGAGAGAGAGATGCAGCGCAAGCTTCAAAGATTGGCCAAAGCACTTGAGAAGATTATGTATGCAAGTAGCCTTGGGTCAGTGGCGTAGGCGGAAAGAGCTGAAGTGATGTTGCAGGAGGAGAACTTGTCAAGGGCATTCTTGTGGGTGACCCTTTGTGCAATGGCAGTAGTTCTACTTGGTGTATTCCTGATTTGGACCCAGTTCAAGAAGTTCGAGAAGAGAATGGAAGAGAACGAACTTGCTATGAGATTTCAGATCTTAGGATTGAAGTCAGCAAAGGACGAAATTGAGGAAGCCAGACTCGAGTTCAAGTCCTATGTGGTCAATCAAGTTCAATTTGGTTCAATGAGAGATGACTATTGTCAACGCCTTCACAGAGCCATAGAGAAACAGAACGGCTATGTGGAACAAGAAGGGTTGACTTGAGAAGAAGAGAGACGCATGAAGTTTCTTGAGAAGGGCATCGAAAGTGGGGACAAGAGAAGATGGCAGAAAGGCTCATGATACATGAAGCAAATGTGAGGAGACGAGAAGTTGATCACACAGAAGAGAGAGGAGACGAAACAGAGCTGATACTCCACTGCTTTCGACAAGAGCAAATGGCGCAGGGGCATCAAGCTCGAGAGCTTGCCGCCCCCCAGTTCTACTGGACGATGCAAGAGAAGTTGAGATTCCAGAACTAGTGCAACTAGTGCCAAGAACAATGGATGAGAGGCTGCTCACAGCTCCTCCACCATTTGAACCACCAGATGAACCAGAAGTGGAAGCTGAAGGACCGGAAAGCCCAGATCATGACATTGATATGATAAGTGCA